TTGAAAAAAATTTCACACCAGCTTCTATTCTAGCCAGGCTGGCTAGACAAAGATACGGGCTAAAATTGTGAGTGACTGAGCAAACAAGCAGCAGATGAGCAACATTGGCTGCAAGCAAAATGCTACCTGAAAAGAAACTTTGATTAGAAATGGAAAGAGAGAGCAAAAGATGATGCATCTGATTACAGATCAACTCTGCAAAGTTAACTGTCCACCAGATTGTAATCTGGGCTTGAGCATCTACATTAATCAACAGGTTGCATGCAGCTATCCGTTTTCCCTTTACAAACAGCCGAACCAAGTTAATTTGAAGAACGAGAAAGCAAACCCAGCAGGCCAAACCTCCATGCGGACAATTTGTTGAAAATAGCTAAAGGGCCTTTTTAAATAGAGACTTCCCCCCCCCCAATTTGTAGAGATGCAAACTGAGACCACATCACCGTGCTGTGGTAGAGCAGACCTTTCAGGATTTCAGTACACTAACTACCTTGAGCAAAACTCACTCCAAGCTGGGTTGTATCTTTTTCTGAACTCTGTAGCTGGCCAAGGAGTCAGGACCCCCTGTCCTGTTGCCTATGCCTTGGACAAGCTGCTTTAACTTTGCCTCAATTTCCCTGTGCATGAAACAAGAATTTGGGAGGCTATTGCTGAGTATAAATCCTCCTGGAAACTCTTACTATTATTTGGATATGACTCCAAACATGTGTCCCAGGTTTTCTGGAGATTCTCAGACCTCCTGGCCCAAACCTCAGGTCTGTAAGGAAGCCAGAGGAATGTTTCAGGGTTTACAATGAATGACCAAACATTCATTTCTCTCCGGAAGGCCAGAAGAGGGGGATGGTCTCCGAGGAACTGTAGATATTTTAATACATACATGACATCTGGGAAGAAAGCACAGTCCGCGGGTGTCTAACATATGCATAAATATATGTACTTCTGTCTCACCAAATGGTCGGGGGCAGCAGATACAACGGAGAGAACTGAGGGATCCTCACAGACTTGAGAGATCAGAATCCAATTCCTTGCTCTGCCACAGGCTCCCTATAATACCTTCAGCAAGTCATTTTGTCTCTTCACTTTCCCCTATGCAAAATGAGGCCGCCTTCATCTATCTTGTCTACTTATAGTGTCAGCAACAGAAGGCAAAAACTGTCTCCTACTGCACCCATGCTCCTGGCACAGTCGGGCTCTACCCCAGCCCGTGCCCACGTATGCTAAGTAATACACCAGCAATAGCACTAATTGCATATGAAACGCGGTAGCTAAATATTTAAAACAGCTAAGTTGCAAGCCAGTAAAAAGCAACAGGGCATGTCTGCTGTATTTCAATCACCTGTAATGCCTGAATATGTGACGCTATCACTTCATTCTTTGTCACAGACTTGCCAGCAAAGCATCCATCCAGGGGACTGACAAAGAGTGCTCGCTTAGTGAAAGGGGCCTTCACAGCATTGAAGAAAATATTTTAGTGCTTCCACGCCTATCTCTGCCAGCATCCCCATGCTCTATAGATCTCAGCGAGCAAACCTCTGCGAACAATGCAAGGTCAAGTGTTAACAGATGGGGAAACTCTGACATGGGGATGCAGTGACTGGTCCAAGGTTAGGGAGAGAATCAGTGGCAAGGCCAGCAACAGAGTCAGATCTCTACAGTCCTGTTCTTTAGCCACAACATTTCTTCTCTTTTCCAAGCAGAATAAGAGTGCAGGAACTCCCAGCCTTTGCTGGGGAGGTTATCCCACTACTGATTTCTTAATTCACCCTGACCCTCCCCCGACAGGGCATCCATGCTTTTTTTGTGCATGAGTCTGGGCTCCTGGAAACAAATCTGTGAAATCTGCAAAACCTCCCATTAAAGGGATGTGGTCCTGCCTGAAGAATGGACATCAAAACTGGCACAGAAGTTTTCTGGTATGACAGTGGAAAAAAAGACTAAAAATCAGAGCAAAGGGGACACACACACACACACACACACACACACAGAAGAAACAGTACAGCTTCATGCACAGGGTGCTACCTGGCGATCCAGGTTCCCACCTTCTGTTCCTGCCTCTGCTCCTTCTTTGCTTCAGGCTCTTGGACACATCAGGTCCTATTGATGTGCTTGTGTTTCCTCCAGGGAGGAAAGGATGCTCTAGACTACAAATGCACTTTGAGAGCTAAGTGCCAATCACCAGCACCGATAGTAACTAATCAGTTACCATCAGTGTTGGTCTGGTGTTTGTATCAAAGGAATAGAATTTCAGGATTGTCTTTTCAGACGTTTTTGGTGACCTCTCCACAGATGGGGTGACCCAGAAACCCTGTCACTGCCTCATGAGGCTGGAGGACAAGGCTCAGTTTGCATCTAACCACATGCTCCAGCTCTTTGTGTTAGTGCATGCTGCAGCTCTACATGCTGCCCAATTGCCACTGAAAAGGAAATGAAATCCCATTTTTCTTGCAGGAAGAGGGCACTCACCTTTTTACAAAACTCATCCAGAGGCATGAACTTTCTGCCTGCTGCTTGTTCAAAGCACTTCCCCTCCCCTTTAGGTCCTTTCTCCAACCCCCAGCATGCACATATGTCACACCACTCATTTGGCTGGTGGAGAGCACAAAAAGCCCAATGCCAGCAGCCCCAGGCCTGACCCTGATGCTTCCTCCCTTTCAGAGTTAATGCCACCATTGTGCCCACCAGCCTGCATGCTCATTCCAGTTTGTTTTTGTGCCGAGAAGAGCCAGTCTGCTGAAGCGCAACTGGCACAGGAGCCAGTGCTGGCATAGCAGGGAGACAAGCTCTCAACAGGCTGTCTTGCCTGGGTAGCTCCTTGCCAGTGAGGACGGGAACAGGCATTCTGGGGACAAGTTCTCCACACCCCTAGGAACTTTGTCAGAGCAACAGGCGCACTGGAGAGATGCAGCTGATACCGACAGCCGCAAAAAGTGCAGCGCAAGGAGAACGCCGTGCTTGCAACCAGCCAGCAGAATGACTCCTGCCTGAGCAGGGGAACACACCGGGCAGACACCCTGGTGGCATCCCCCCAGCAAGCAGCCCTGGCAACTTTCACACTGGAGACAGCAGCGTCCTCCCCTTCAGCCTGCCTGCTTCCTTCCCAGACGGTCCCACACTAGAGGTGTGCAAACAGCACACGTTGGACAAGTCGATACTGACAGCAGGGCGGTGGTATAGGGCTGCCTAAACCCCTTTTAGGATGGTTCCACCAAAACATTCAAGGGATCTCATCCACCAGGGAAGGGACCGGTATAAATTCTTGCTGCGCTTGTATAAATCCGATTGTCACCAATACCCTCCCTCACCACATCTCCAACTTCTTCTCTCCCCTCCTCTAACACTTTGTGCCCAAACAGTCCCGAAACCTTCCCTCCGTCCTTCCAAAGGGAGCGACAGCCCCTGCCAAACGGCTGCTGGGGGCGG